AGATTAAGGAATCTATAAGGAGAGAAGCTACTCTGGTATCTGCTTTTGAAGGCAGAAGTTGGGTCTAGGATGAAACTGTCTGGCAGATGAGGTTACAAATCAACAGGGTCTGAAAGAGTAGATGGCAGCAGGAGATTACTGACGGAGAATTGTGTCCAAACAGGTCCTCCCTAGTGTCTAGTCCCTTGAGAGGTTCTAGAGGAAAGATACTGGAGGTTAAGGATGGTTGATGGGGAAAAGATGAGGCCTATTGAGGAGACAGCCTAAGAAAATGAGAGCGTGAAAAAGGAATACTTAAAAGCAGGCAAAGTCTCTAAGGGCAGATTCTAGGAACCAACAGAACCTCTTAAAGAGTCTAAGAATGCTAAAGAGTCTAAGAATGCCAGGATACCACGATGATGCTATGTCAAGGCGGCATTGGGAGACCTCAAATGTGGGAATGAGTCTCCACAGGAAGGCCAGGCATATAGCTTTTCACTCGGTCTAATCCAGATGGCAGCTCAACGGACTGATAGTATCCTGGGGGGGGGAGGGGGAGAGGGAGATTCTGGACGAAAATGCTAGACAAGGCTCTTCTTTCGGAAATGAAGGCCATGCGGACCCTTCCTGAAGTCTGGTCCCTCTTAAGCCATGAGAGCAAATAATGAAGGACTAGGAGGCGTCTCAAGGGAGATTTCAGGGCTCGGGACAGTCTACAATAGCACACAAGTATGGATGGCTTTTACAAGCAGTAATGCTGAATTTCTCTGCCTTTATGGGAGACTGCCGGGAGTTCTGACAGGGCTAGGGACGGGATCAAGATATCTCGTTATAGCTGTTGAGCCAGAAATCTCCAGAAGCCGAGATGGTGGGGAGGGGGGGTCTCATGTCAAGGTCAGATCTCAGAGCCCAAGGGAATAGGGTGATCCACGACAGAAATGATCCACCCCGCCCTAGGATTTGTACTCCCCCCACATTCGCTTGTCTAGTGACTGCTGATACCAACGACACCGCAGCACACCCAGACATAGGGCTGGCAGAGAGCCAGCAGGGACCCTCCCATGCCTCCCAGAGCCCTTGCTTCGAGCCAGGTGCAGAGAAAACCTATTACCAATGCCGGTTCCCCGGGTCGCGCCGCCGCCAACTCCTCAAGGAGCCGAAGTCAAGCTCGGCCGCCACCGTCCTTTTTCTCCTCCTCCTTCCTGCCGCCTGAGCCAGCTAGGATCACCGCCGCCTTCTCCTCCCCCGACCGCTGTGGTTGTGGTCTTCCCTGCCACCTCCCTCACGCCAGCAGCCGACACAAGATGGCGGCCGCAGAGCCCAAGGCCGGAACAAAACCTTGAGCCCCACCCCCAGAAACCCGGATGCAAGCGGACCGCGCCCACTCATGAATCATGTATTTTCCCTGCCTGCCCAGTTTGGGACTTCTGTAATTAGAAGGAGAACAGCTCCACCAAGTGGCTCCAGAGGCAGTAACTAGAAAAACAGGTAGAGCAGAAGGCCACGCCCCATGGGATACGAATAAAGAATAACTGCAGCTAAGCTGTCAAAGAAACCAAGGAAGGACCTCAAGGCCATTCTTCCTGATGGTGAATTATAAAACAAGACGATGGTTTACTAAGACCAGGCAATCAGAAAGTAGATGTTAAAAGCACGGCAATCACACCCCATGCTCATGAATAATGAATGTTCTTGCTGCTGCCAGGAATCAAGGAGACCAAAGTGACATCTTACTCATGAATAATGCAAAACGCTCAGTGGGCTGAAACAAAAGAGGCAGGCCTGCCTTATTGCTCCATCTAATACCCAGTAAGCAAGAAATGGGGCTACTGCAGGGAATATGCACTCCCTTGGCTCCTGAATACTGAATGATATTGTGCCTGCTCAACTTGGAAATAGAAAGGCCAAGGAAGGTTGCATGGAAGGGGCGGGGGTCATGGTACATGCCTTTAATCCTAACACTAGGGAGGCAGAGGCAGGCAGATCTCTGAGTTTGAGGTCAGTCTAGTCTACAGAGCGAGTTCCAGGACTGCCAGGGCTACACATAGACCCTGTATAGGGTGTGTGTGTGTGTGTGTGTGTGTGTGTGTGTGTGTGAACTAAAAGAAAGGTACACCCAGGTAGTACACGCATAGTGACATATGCCTATTAATCCTGGCACTATACTAACGGAAATGAAAGCTGGAGAATCGTTAGTTTGAAGCCAGCCTGATTACCATGGAATCCGGTCTCAACAAAAGGACAAATTCTGTGAGGCTTGTGGGCCCTGCCCAGCAAGCACAGATTATGAGGTAACAGTCAAGGTATGTGTCATAGGGGAATAGGGGATAACCATTCCCCTATTCCTCTGTGAAGCCAGAGGGGAGCACAGTCCTTGTTCTTTATCCCTGACCATCTAGGGGATTATCTTGTCCCAACTAAATCCAGACTCACTACATGCCTTTGATAGACAATAACAGTAATAAAATCAATTCACCTCAGGTTGGAGATGTAGGCTACAGATAAAGTACTTCCCCAACATCCTGGGTTCAATCCATAGTACTATAAAAAACAAAACAAAACACACCAATCCCCACTTCAAAAAAAATCTATCCAACTCAGACTGATAAAATGTGTCATGAAAATGGGTATGGAAAGGGTCTTTGAGCAGTGTTGCCACAAGGCATTGTAACAATTTTCAAATATATATAACTAAAGTTAATATGTAAGCATATTTGAATTAATCTAAAATTACTTATGTGTGAGGATATATCTAGTCATTACAGAAAGTATCCACTTGAATGTTTTCAGATCCAGAAAATGGAAATTAAGAACAAGAAATTACCCTGTGATTGAATTTCAGTAAGTAAAACAGTGCCTGACACACATACCATATAATTAACCTGAGCAGTAGCAACACTGTTTTCTTAAAAGTCAGGGTCTTGCTGGGGTGTGCTAGTATGATTCCTGTAATTCTATAGTACTTGGTAGGCTGAGGCAGGAGGATCACTAGTACCCGGCAAGTCTGGGGAAACAGACCCCGGAGAAAGGGACATAGATAAACAGCCACACAGAGAGGGAAGAGAGGGAGAATAGAGAGAAGAGAGAGAAGGAGGGGAGAGAGCAGAGAGGAGGGTAAGGGAGCAGAGGGAGGGGAGACGAAGGGGAAGAAAGAAAGGAAAGAAAAGAGCTAGTTTTGCTGTGTTGCCCATACTGGTCTCAAACACCCTTATTCAAGAGATCCTCCTGCTTCACTCTGTCCCAACTACTCCTTGTAATTCTACAATACTTGGCAGGCTGAGGCAGGCAGGTCCCTAATTCTCTGGCAAGCCTAGGGAAATATAGTGACAGCCTGGAGAAAGGAGTAGGAGACACAGAGGGAGAGGGGAGAGGGAGGGAGGATATGAGTACCATGGAGCCCACCAGAAATAGTACCATTAAATTGGTTTGGGGAAGGCCATTATCCAACTCTGAAACCAGACAGGTCAGATTTGAATCCTAGTTCAGCCACTCACTGTGCGACTTTAGGACAAATTACTTACCTGTCCTGTGTCTCAGATTCCTCATCTATGAAGTAGGATGAAACCTACTTTTGAGAAGTTGTGAAGATAAAATGGTTAATAAAAGTAACTAAATGGGTGTAAACTATTCTTATTATCCTAAATACCCACTTTTCGGGCTCCGAAAAATACTTGCTCAAGATCCACAACAGTAAAGATGGATGGGATTTGAATTCAGAGTCTTGGTTAGTAATCTAGAATTACTGAGACATAAGGCACGAATAATAACCACGGCATCATCTCCAATAGACGCCAGGTTTAAATCCAGGAACCAGTGAGGGAAAGCTAACTGCGGAACCCGCAGAAGCTGTAAAGGCCACGCCCCTCATAAATTAAGCAGAGTTGAAAAGCTTTTTAAAATACCCTCGGGGCGCTACTCACCTTCACAGATTGTATGGATTATCAATAAAGTCTAGTTTGTGAGGCAGACTTCGGGATACCCCGTCAACACGCCCCTTCCGTACGTTGATCCGCCCCCTAGAGAGTAATTCATAAGCTGACACTTCTAGTGGACCAGGTGCGAAAGAGGGTTCACACCACAGCCCCACCCCTCATAAATGAATAAAGCGGCAAAGGACCGCTCAGTAGCCCGGTGACTCTACGTCCGCTCGGAAGAGCCCAGCAGAGAGAGTCTTTACCAGCCTCGGTTGAGAGGTTCCTCTCCTGGCGTCTGGGACCCTAATGTGTCCGGGTCTCACAGCCCAGGGTAACCAACCGTGCAGACCTCATCACCTAGTCAGAGGTCACAAAGGGCATTTATACCACAGTGCCACGTCGGTGGTGGAACCTTCTTACTGTCACCCGGTCCGGTGCTAAGACAAGCCATCCCCAACCCCCCCTCCCCCGCTTTGACTTTAGTAACTTCAAACTTCTCTCCTCTTGGGAAGCCCGAAAATCCTACCCACCGACAGAGTACTCATACACAGACCCTGAGCCTCCCTAAGCGCCCCCTAAACCCTGCTTCCAAGGGGGTACAAATCTGCGTCTGAGAACTATCCCCATAAAGCAGACTACTAAATACCACCCAAGTCCCCAAGAACCGCCTCGAAAGGGTCTCCTCAAAAGTAGACACCTTCTGAATGCCACCCGGGCCCCAAAACCTCCAAATATGCCCATTCGGAATCCCTGAAGTTGATATTAAGGAAGCACCCTCTTCCAAATGCAGTCCAGGGGCTTGAGGGCAATTTGCTCCCGCTCACCCCCAGTGCTGGGCGGAAGCTTCGCCTTCCTTCAGGAGATAAGCCGAAGCCACAGGGCAACGGAAGAGCAAACCACCTCCGACGGGCAAAAAGAACTAGAGTTTGCGCGAGCTCGGAAGCGCGGGGCCTTAGAGGGCCGGGTCTGGGGTGTACCATAGATGCCTGAATAGAGGGGCGTTCTCCCTGCTTCTGTGTCTCTGGCGCGTGGTTTCAGGCCCATATATCCCCTACAGATTGTGGTACGACCCCAATGCGCGGTGCATGCTGGGAGTGGTAGTCCTGTCCCGCTAATGCCTGGTGCACGTGGTGGGCATCAGCCCCTAGAAGATGGGAAAATGTAAGCCTGGGTTTATTTCCTAGAACTGTGTACTCTGTGAGGGTGGGAAAAGAAAACGGAACATGATAGTGTCTCCAGATTAGAAGATACATTCAACCTTAGCACGGGAAGGCTGAGACTCGGGTGACCAAAAGCGTTCATTAATTTTTTTTTTCCCGTTTGTGCAGATCAAAATGTGGGCCAGGTGCTGGCACTTCTTCCTTGCCCTCATAGAACAATATCCTATCTTGAGAAACAGCAGGTAAACATAACAAACAATAACAAATAATAGCCTGACATATGCCTATGCATTATAATAAGCAGCCGGCAACTACATAAATAATTATATATGAACACATATGTGTGTGCATGTTTTCCTTTAACAGGATCTCCTTATGCAATTTGGGCAGGCTTGGAACTTGCTATACAACCCAGGCTGATTTTGGATTTAGGATCCTCCTGCTTCTTCCACCAAGTGCTGGGATTGCTTGCAGGCATGTACCACCATGCCCAGCTGCAAATATTAATATGTAAATGCTCTACATCTGTTTCTATCTAATGTATCTTATATTTAATGCATTGTGTAAATTATATAACAGTATGACTGACTATACATTGTATATACAGCTTATAAGTAACTATTATATATAAAATCATACATTCCTTAACAATAGTGATAGTTTCTAAGAACTTAGGCAAAGTCTTACATGAATTTACATAAAACCAAATGGTACAGCCCCTGCTCACCTAAGCTATATGGTTTAGCCTAGGACTCCTAGGCTATAAACTGTATATATAATAAATGTGGCAAAGTATAAGTGGTATTTGTGCATCAAAACAGAGTAAAACTACAGCAAAAATGCTAAACTATATGGGGTGTACTTGGTGGTAAAATGCTTGTGTAAAATGTGCAAACCCTGGATTTGATCCTTGGCACTTCAGAGTAATAATAAAAATACAATAAATTAAACAAATACTAAAAACAGTATGCTGGAGAATAGGGATGGAAAAAAATAGACCACAGTAAGGTTAATTTGTTGGGATAGGTTGCAGTTTTATACAGGTGGTGATGTGTGAGCAAAGATATTTAATGTAAAATGCTTCTATCACCTCAGATTCTGTCTTTCAAATATTGCCAATGACCTTCACATTTGCTCATCTGATTTATTGAGCAGTGCAGAGTTCTGGGAACACAACAGAGACTATCCTTGTAGTTGTCAAGAACATTCTTCCCAAAGGTATATCCCTTATTATCTCTTGCATGGGAACAGAGGAAAGGTGTTGTGTAGTGGGAACACTAGGAGCAGAAAGACTTGGTTGGCACCTGTGAGAAAGAACACAATGGTTTGTAGAGTTGGAGAGGAAGAAGTAGGGGCATTAGAAGATGAGGCTTGGGGACAGATCAGCAGCGGTCTTGTAAACTAGATAAATATGTTTAGCATTTAAGATTCATGAGAAGGGGCTGAGGAGGTAGCTCAGTGAGTAAAGTGCTAAGTGCACAATATTGAGGATCTGAGTCTGATCAGGACTTGAGCATACATATTAAAAACTGGGCATGGTGGCTTAGGCCTGTAATTACAGTATTGGGAGTTAGAAACAGGATACCTGAAGCTCACTGGCTAATAGGTGAGTTGCAGGTTTAGTAAGAGGTAATTCCTCTAAAAGGTAAAGTGTGTGTGGAAAGGAAAGGAGAGATAAATAATACTAAGGGTGTTTGAAAAAGCCATATGGAAACTTACTATTTTTATAAGCTTACTTTATACATATATGTGTGTGTGATATGTACATATACATACATACTTTTACATATTGTAATGGAGATAGGCAACAGGGAGTGATGATGCCCCCCTTCCCTAAGAGCCACAGACTAACAAAGCCCCCCAAGTGCCTGGCAAGAGAGACTTCCCTTCTAGGTTTTCATTGGGGAAGGTCAAAGAGAATCCCCAATTGGCTATTGCCAATGCTGTTCGGGAACTTGCAAGTAAGACCCTATTGCTAAAGATACCACACACTTTGGACACAGGACTTGGAGGGACTGAGCTGAAATTGACCTAGAGCAGTGGTTCTCAACCTTCCTAATGCTGCAACCCTTTAATACAGTTCCTCATGTTGTGGTGACCCCAACCATAAAATTATTTTTATTGTTACTTCATAACTGTAATTTTGCTACTGTTATTAATAGTAATATAAATAGGCAAATTATCTGATATTTGATATCAGACCCCTGTGAAAGAGGAGTCGCAATCCCTCCCATAAGTTGAGAAACACTAACCTAGACATTTTGTCCCTGAGGACTAGCTCCCACAGTATCTGAAGGTACTGTGCAAATAAGGAATAAAAATAATGAATAGTCCTACTAGCTAAAAAAACCTAGGAACCATAATGACCAACCTAGCAAGAAGTGCTACAATAGTGGCACTTTTATCTTGGCAGTAACTAAACTAATAGCTGTTTAATTAATTGGGCTTAAGGCCCACTACATGGGAGAGAATACATACCTGGTACTGTAAACCTAGCCAACTACCTGTGGCCAGAAATGTCACAGACTGTAGAAGGGAACCTACTACTGCTATCTTCTGGAGAGTCACAATAGTTTCTAACTGTATTCTACATACTTATCCTTATATTCAGGTAAGTGTAGCTATCCCACTTACCTAAAAAAAGCTTTATTTTTGCAAAAAACAGAGACTTTTTAAAGATTTGTTTATTATGTATACAGTGTTCTGTCTGCATGTGTCCCTGCAGGTCAGAAGATGGCGCCAGATCTCATGATAGATGGTTGTGAGCCACCATGTGGTTGCTGGGAATTGAACTCAGAACCTCTGGAAGAGCAGCCAGTGCTCTTAACCTCTGAGCTGTTGTCATTCTGTTGACTGAGGTTTCTGTCCTGCCCGGTTCCCACAGTCATTAAGTCCCAAAGAAATCACACAGAGTTCTACATTAGTTATAAACAGATTGGCCCATTAGCTCAGGCTTCTTATTAACTCTTATAACTTATATTAGCCCATTATTCTTGTCTATGTTAGCCACGCTGCTTGGTACCTTTTTTGGCGAAGCAGTCACATCTTGTTTGTTCTGTGGCTGGATCACGACTGCAGACTGCACTTCCCTCTTCCCAGCATTCTTGTTGCCCGGCCTCTACTTCCTGCTTGGTCATCCCACCTATACTTCCTGCCTGGCTACTGACCAATCAGCATTTTATTAAAAATAATACAAGTGACAGGTTAAAAGACAGCACTCAGCCATCTATCTCTTCAGCCCCAGACAGAGACTATTAAGACATTACAGAGATCCACAAGTGGTCAAAATTCAGAGAATAAGTGATCATTGGATATCAAGCCCCAATTGGTACATTTATAACACAACCCCCATATCTAAGGGAAAATCAGGGATGGGGGTGGAAAGATTATAATGCCAGAAGACCAGGAGAGAAAAGAGTTGGGGGGGAGAGTGGTGGAAATGATATAAGTTCTCATGTATGAAACTCTTTAAAAATGAAATAATAAGGTGGGGCATGTGAGACGGCTCAGCAGGTAAAGGCACTTGTTCAAACCTGACAGAGTTTGAACCTTGGAATCCATATAACGTTAAAGGAGAGAACCAGTTCTACAAAGTTGCCCACTGACTTCACATGTGACACATACACTAATAAAACAACAAAGTTTAAAAATAAAAGTGGAGAGTGACAGATATCAGCCTCCATACATGCACACACAGTTCTGTACACTTGCAAATATACATGTTTCATCACATTCAATCTATGAGCTGTAACAATTTTTCTCTTTTTGGTTTTTCAATAGGGTTTCTCAATGTAGCCGTGGGGATCCTAGAACTCGCTCTCACAGAGATCCGCCTGCCTCTGCCCACCAAGTGCTGGAACTAAAGGCATGCACCACCACCATTTGACTTCTTTTTTATATTTTTATTTATTTATTTGCTTGTTTTTCATGATAGGGTTTCTCTGTGTAACTGCCTTGACTGTCCTGGAACTCGATTTGTAAACTAGGCTGGCCTAGAACTCATGGAGACCCACCTGCCTCTGCTTCTGTAGTGCTGGGATTATAAAGGCATGTGTCACCACACCTGGCTAGGATTTTATTTCTTGGAATAGCATCTTACTGTAGATCAGGCAGGCCTGGGAACACATTTAGATACTGGGGCCAACCTAGAATTTTCAGTAATCCTCCTACCCAACCCCCCAAATGTTGGGATTATAGGCATGAGCCGCAATACTCAGTTGTAACAGGATTTTAAACACAGGAATCACATAATAAACACATTTTATTTTATTGCAGTGTTGGGGAGAGAACTCAAGGCCTTACACATGCTAGGCAAGCACTCTACCAACTGAGTCACACCCCAGCCCAATTGCAGAAACAGTCTGGGTGTGTGGAAAGAACATTTATAGTGGGAAGTGGGGAAGAAAAACCACTGGAGGTTAACTGTTAAGAATTCAAGAAGTGGGCTGGAGAGATGGCTCAGAGGTTAAGAGCATTGCCTGTTCTTCCAAAGGTCCTGAGTTCAATTCCCGGCAACCACATGGTGGCTCACAACCATCTGTAATGGAGTCTGGTGCCCTCTTCTGGCCACCAGGCATACACACAGACAGAATATTGTATACATAATAAATAAAATAAATATTTAAAAAAAAAAGAATTCAAGAAGTAAGCCAGGTGGTGGTGGCACACACCTTTAATCTCAACACTTGGGAGGCAGAGGCAGGTGGATCTCTGTGAGTTTGAGACCAGCCTGGACTACAAGAGCTAGTTCCAGGATAGGCTCTAAAGCCACAGAAAAACCCTGTCTCGAAAAACCAAAAATAAAATAAAATAAAATAAAATAAAAAAATCAAGATGTAATGCTAGAGCAGCCAAAGTCAGTAATGTAGAAGCAGAGAGGAGGGTCCCATTCTGGACTGATTTCAAACTTCTACGAGTTAGATTTGCTGAGAGATCAAACAGATTTGAGGTATGAAAAATAAAGCCATTGCTGACCCATTAAGTTTCTGGCCTGTGTAACTGGAAGGATGGACTTGTCATCCACAGGCATAGGAAATACTCTACTAGGACTGGGCATGGATGGGGCAAGATGAAGGGTTTGGTTTTGCCTGTATTACATTTAAGATGCCTGTTAAGACACTCAAGATGTTGCTCTAGAGAAGAGTTGAGACCAGGCATGGTAGTTCACACCTGTATTACCAAGACTCTGGAGGCTATGATGGGAGGATTGCTGGGGAGTCTGAGGTCAGCTGAGTTCCAGTCCGAGCTACTGTGAGACTCAAAACCAGCCAGGTGAATGCATACAATTTCTTGGGAGGTGGAGACAAGAGAATCAGGAAGACAAGGCCGTTCTCGGTGA